ATTAATATATTTTAGTTTCCTTTGTATTCTTTTATTTTTACTTTTATCTTTTTAAAATTTTTACTTTATATATATATATTTTTTTCTCCTATTTCCCTTGATTCTCTTTTCTTCAGCCAACAGCCAATCTCTATTTTCTTTGACTCTTCCTTTAATTTTTTACTTCTTCTCTCCTTCTCCCTCATAATCATCACATCCTGTATCACTTCTGTTCTCTCCCTGTCCACCATTTGAAGTTATAAACCCTTTTGCAGTCTTGCTGTTTTTAATTGTAGACAATAACTGATAATGTCATGTCTGTTCATTGTGTTAATTAGAATTCTAGATGTCATAGTAGGAACTATTTGGTTTAATGTGGTATATCGTTTGCATTGGTTGTTGTTATTATTTGTCTCCCCCTAAATAGTGAGGTACTGGAGACCTTCAGGGACACTATAAGTCCACAGGGTAGAAACTCTACTGCCTCAGATCCAGACTGTTAGGTGGGTAGGCATACAAACAACATGAAAAAGCAAGGGAAGAAATCAACCCAAACAAACCAAGATACTTCAGTAACAGAATTCATCAACACCACAGTGGAAGAAATGTTAGAGAAACAGATTAGAAGGTACATAGTTAAACTGATCTGCGAAGTAAAGGATGGTATAAGAAATGAAATCAGAGGGAAAATACATGAAGTGAAAAATCACTTCAATAAAGAGGCAGAGATTTTGAGAAAAAAAAAAAAACAACAAGCAGAAACCTTAGAAAGGAAGGAATCAATAAATCAAATTAAAAATTCAGTAGAAAGCATCACCAACAGACTAGACCACTTGGAAGACAGAACCTCAGTCAATGAAGACAAAATATATAATCTCGAAAATAGAGTTGACCACAGAGAGAAGATGTTGAGAAACCATGAACAGAACTTCCGAGAACTATGGGATAACGTAAAAAAGACCAAATTTAAGATTTATAGAGATAGATGAAGGTTTGGAGATATAAACCAAAGGAGTGCACAATCTTTTTTAATGAAACAACACCAGAAAATTACACAGATCTAAAGAATGAAATGGAAAATCAATACAAGAGGCTTACAGGACCCCAAATGTACAAAACTACAACAGAGCCCCACCAAGGCACATTATAATGAAAATGCCTAGCATACAGTGTAAGAACAGAATTTTAAAGGCTGTGAGAGAAAAATATCAGATTACATTGGGGGAAACCAATTCAGACCTCAGCTGATTTCTCAACCCAGGCCTTCAAAGCTGCAAGGTCCTAGAATAACATATACCAAGCTCTGAAAGAAAATGGACGCCAACCCAGAATCCTATATCCAGCAAAATTAAGCTTCAGATTTGAAGATGAAATAAAAACCTCCATGATAAACAAAAGTTAAAAGAATTTGCAACTAGGAAGCCTGCACTTCAGAACATTTTTAATAAAGTATTCCATGAAGATGAAGTAAAAAAAAAAAAAAAAGTGAAATCAGCAGAGGGAAGAACTACACTAAAGGAGTAGCCAATCAAAGGAGAAAGAAATTCAAATTAAAAACTAGAAATAAACCCAAATGATCGGGAATACAAGTTATATCTCAATAATAACCTTGAACTTAATGGTCTAAACTCATCAGTCAAAAGACCCAGACTGGCAGATTGGGTTACAAAATAAGATCCAACAATATGTTGTCTCCAAGAGACTCACCTCACAGTCCCAAGGTGAAAGGTTGGGAAAAAGACATATCACTCACATGGATCGCATAAACAAGCAGGGGTTTCTATCCTCATATCAGATAAAGCGGACTTTAAGCCAAAATTAATCTGAAGGGACAAAGAAGGACATTTTATACTGCTTAAGGGAGTTTTATATCAGCAAGACATAACAATTGTAAACATTTATGCCCCAAACAATGGAGCATCTGCGTATATCAAATAAACCCTTCTCAATTTTAAGAATCAAATAGACCACAACATAATAGTACTGGGTACCTTTAACATGCTTCTGTCACCACTGGATAGATCCTCCAAACAAAAACTAAATTCAGAAGCTATAGAAGTAAAAAATACAATTGATAATTTAGACTTAACAGACCTATGTAGAATATTTCATCCATCAATGACTGAATACACTTTCTTCTCAGCAGCACACGGATCATTCTCTAACATAGACCGTGTTATGTAAGCTATCACATATGTTGGCCTACAATTGTAATATTACCTAATATATTTTTAGAATCTGTAGGGTTATTTTGTCAGCTCCCTTTCCATTGTTATTAATTTTTGTGTTCTTGTTTTTTTTTTTAAACATGTATTCATTTTTTTAGGTGTAGATGGACACAACACAATGCCTTTATTTTTATGTGGTACTGAGGATCGAACCGGGTCCCGCCCGTGCTAGACGAGCGCTCTACCGCTGAGCCACAATCCCAGCCCCTGTGTTCTTGTTTTTTTCTTGATTAGACTTGGTGGATTTTTATCAAATTTTAGCTCATTTATTTCTTCTCTATTTCATCTCATATATTTTTTCTTCCTACTACATAATTTGAAAATAATTTGATTGTTAATTTCTATCTCCTTTCTGATACAAGTACTTTAAGTTCTAAATGTTTCTCTGAGTACTGTTACATCCCAGAGATCCTGGTATTTTAAGCTTTTATCATCCCTTACTTCAAAGCACTTTTTATTTACTTTTCTGTGCTTTCTTCCTTGCCCTCTGAGATATTTATAAGTGTGCCATTTAATTTTGAAATAGTTGACTTGTGGGAGTGGGGTTCTATATATCTTGATTGATTTCTAATGTGATAAATCATGAAGGAAACTGTGTGCATGATTTCAAATTAAAAAAAAAAAGTAATGGAAATTGGGGGGGTGGGTCGGGCGTCGCTCTGAGTGACCAGCATTTTTCTTCCCGTGATTGGTAGAGGCTCTGTCAGTCACTTTTGGAGCTATCTGGCTACATTCACCTCTTTCTGTGGACCCTTAAGGTCAAAGGAGCTGTCACAGGACCCCCCAAAGAAAAAGGTATTTCATGCAGCCCAGTTCCCCTGGAGTGACCCTGAGTGTTTTTGTCGCCAGGAACGCGGCTGGAAATGTTTTTATATTGATTGTATTAGTTACCTACATGTCGAATCTGATCAAATTGCATCCTTCAAATACATGCATTATATTGTACTTCAATTTGACCTCCGTAGAGCTATGGGAATAAAAGAGAACAACTTAGAGGAGGAAAAGTTTATTTTGGGCTCACTGTTTCCCAAGATTCATTTCATGGTGAGCGTGCTCTGGGCCTGAGATGAGGCAGAACATCCCGGTGCAGGGGCACAGCAGGGGAAAATGTTCAGCTCGTGGCAGCCCCAGGAAAGAAAGACTGAGGAGCCAGGGAAAAGGTGTAGTCCCCAAAGGCACGCCCCCAGTGACCTGCATCCTCCTGCCAAGCCCACTATAGGTACCACCCAGTAGTCCATTCGAGTTATTAATCCAGCGAATGGATCACTGCTGAGATTACAGCTCTCATAATCTGATCATTTCACCTCTGAACATTCCTGCATTGCCGAGCACATGAGCTTTTCAAGGGATGATCCAGGATTCAACCATGACAATAACAGTTGGAAACTTCAACTGAAATCAGATGGTGATAGTTACGTAATTCTGTGAATCTACTAAAAATCACTGAGTTTTACACTTTGAAAGGATAAATTTTATTATATGCAAATTGTATCTATCAATAAAGCTGTTATTTAAATGGGTCAATTGTGTTTACACATCAGAAGAATATTTTTTAAAGTTACTACTTAACAGAGCTGGGGATATAGCTCACTTGGTAGACTGCTTGCTTCGCCTGCACAACAAGGCCCTGGGTTCGAAAAAAAGTTACTACTTTATTTTTTACTTAACAAAAAAAGTACCTTAGTTTAAATCTAACAAAAGTTGCACAAACCTTAAACATTTCACAATTTTACAAAACTTTTTAGAAACTTTATAAAAATTATATTCAGAAACTAATAAAGGTTTTTAATTTCTTCAACATAACTATTTCCTTTTTTTTTTTAAATCTTTTACATTTTGAGACAGATCTTTCTAACTTGCCCAGGCTGACCTTGAACTTGAGATCCTCCTGCCTCAGCCTCCCAAGTCTCTGGGATAACAGGTGTGGGCCACCTCAACCAGTGAGAAGGTAATTTCTTTAAAGTGGACCGGTAAACCTGTTCCCAGACTCTCCCACCTGCTACTAATTAAAATCTTACAGTATATTTCCTTTACTAACTTTTTTTCTTCATTAGTACTGGATGACTTAACAAGAAAAGGGAAAGTCTTTGATTTAAAACTGCCAGCTTCCAAAATTGATTCATTTAAACTATATTAAGCTATCATTTAGGAATCCTTCCTGTCACATCATAGAAAAAAAAATACCTAAACAGCTGGATGAGATAACTTACTGAGATAACTTTCTATTCCACATGTTGTAGATTGCTGTATGTCTAGTGTATTACAGATAACACTATTGTTCTTGACACTTTTAGACGAGCCTGTTAGTCCTAGAGAAAATAAAAACTAGGTAAATATTAGAGGATAAATTCTGGAAAGGAGAAAACATTGCAAGGGAGATATTAAATCTTTATCATTTTATAGTATGTGTATTAAGTTTTACAAACAGATAAGTCAAATGAGTAATTTGGTTTTCTTTGGTAGTATAGAAGAGTACTGAAATTGATGATTGAAACAGGTATGATTATAAGCTTGAAGAAAAAGTACTACTACCTTTATTGAAAAAGATTTTGGTGTTTAGTTCAAATGGGGGTGAGTGTTTTAACTTAAAGTCTGTAAAACTTACGGGCAATACCATGCCTCTTAGATGGTTTTTCTACAATATTCATAAAGGACAAGTAACATCGAGAAGGATTTAGTTACTTGTAATCTAAGTGTTCTGGGCTTTGTGGGAATGCCTTGTTATTGACCTCCTTGTTACCTACTGTTTTCCTTTCAAATCCTTCAGGTATTTGGAATTCATCTTTACGTACAATGTCAACGTCAAATGAAGGTCCAGTTGGATATACCCCCCCAGATGGAGGCTGGGGGTGGGCAGTGGTTGTTGGTGCTTTCATTTCTATCGGCTTCTCTTGTGCATTTGCCAAATCTATTTCTGTATTTTACAAAGAAATTGAAGGTCTATTTGATGCCAGCACCAGTGAAGTGTCGTGGATCTCCTCCATCATGTTTGCTGTCATGTATGGGGGCGGTGAGTACCACTGAGGCCTGCTCTTTTAACTACCAATAGGCAGGCAAAAGCTCTGTAGTGGGTGCTTTCTGTTCCTGGTGCCCTTATCAGTGAGGTATTCGAAAGGTTGTTCTTGAACCTAGGTGATTAGAATCGCATTTTTCCTTCTTTATATCAGAAGGTTATATAGCAACTATATGATCCTCTTAAGTTAACTACGACCAAAACTGGTGTTATATAAAGGATAACGTTCTTTTTAAATGTGTTTTCTGGCTGGCCATGGTGATTACATTAAGTCTGTAATCCCAGCAACTCAGGAAACTGAGGCAGGAGAATTGCAAGTTTAAGGCCAGCCTCAGCAAGTTAGACCAAAGCAACTCAGCAATACCCTATTTCAAAATTAAAAAAAAATAAAAAGGTCTGGGAATGTAGCTCAGTGGTAAAATGCCCCGGGTTCAATCCCCAATGTGAAATAAAATAATAATAATAATAATAATAATGCATTTTCTGGGCTGGGGTGCAGCTCAGTGATAGAGTGCTTGCTTAGCATGCACCAGGCCCTGGGTTTAATCTCCAGTACCACAGGGAGGGGAAAAAAGTGTTTTTCTGCTTTTGCTGATATATACAAAGGCAATTGATTTTTGTATTTTCATTGTATATCCCGTAAGCTTGCTCAATTCTTGTTGTTTCCATTAATTTACTGGTAGAGTCTGTCAAAATTTTTGGATATTCAAAATATCTTCCACAAATAATGATAGTTTGGTTTCTTCCTTTCCTTATCCCTATTTTCCCCTGTCTTACTGCGCTGGCTTGGACTTCCAGTATAATGCTGAAGAAAAGTAGTGATGGTAGGCATTCTTGTTTTGTAGTTCTGTTATCGTTGTTTTCTGTGAGAAACAAAACACATATTAGCTGGTGATCTGTTCCTACTGACGGTTGTCTTCATGTCTGCGCTCCAGATACCTATCTACAAATTAAGAACAGAGAAAACTTGCTACAGTTACAATGAAAATGTTCTAAACACATGAAGATCCCTACAGACTTAGAATCAGGGAATGTGCAGCCCGTTCTACCTTAGGAGAGGTGGAGTGAGGGCTCTTCTACTTGCGATGAATCCATCTAATATGTTCTAGAAACACAGAAGATGTACAATCAATGCTGCTGTTTTTTTTCCACTACACAAATCAATGAACCTGCAATAATGATGGAAAGCAGCTTTTTACCCGGCTTTGTGTTTTCTCTGTTTGTTGTGGGGATGGGGGTTTTGTCTTGACGCCTATCTTGTCAGTAATGCCTCGTGTGGACGCAGAAGTGGGGGGTGGGCTTCTCTGCATTGCTAAGTTGCCTGTTCTCCCCCAGGTCCCATCAGCAGTATCCTGGTGAATAAGTACGGCAGCCGTCTAGTCATGATGGCTGGTGGCTGCTTGTCTGGCTGTGGCTTGGTTGCGGCTTCTTTCTGTAACACCGTTCAGGAGCTTTACTTGTGTATTGGAGTTATTGGAGGTGAGGTGCTCCTGGTTTATTTTCAAGCGTTAATTTTTTTTTTTTTTGTGGACTGTTGGTAGCATTATCTGCCAATTCTTTGGAGAAATAAAATGTCTTCATTAGAAAAATGACTGTTGTTTTTAAGAGCTTTAGATATGTTAATTTAAGAGTGCCAGAAAAGCAAACTTTTAAAGACAGTCTAGCACTTAATTGGCATTAACGTTTGTTAAATGAATGAGTTGAAAATTTTTTGTCCCACTTGCCTTTCTTCTTTTCCTCCCTCACTCCCTCTCTTCCTTTCTTCCATCTAAAGGAAGGTAGCAGTAAAGGACGTGGTGCCCTCAGTTATTTAAAGAGCAGTCATCAGCTATTCCCAGGCATCACAAACCCCAGACTACCCGAGACGGAATTGGCTCAAAGTGGACTGAGGGGGAACATCAGATACAAAGAGCAGATTTTCTGGTAGAGAAGCCAGGTACATTTTCAAGGAGTAAAGCGCATGACAGGAGCACTCTCCCTCCACTCACCCCCTGCCCTTTTAAAAAAATTTTTTGGTGCTGGATTGAACCCAGAGGCACTTTACCACTGAGTTACATCTTCAGTCCTCTTTGATTTCTATTTTTTTTTTTATTTTGAGACAGGTCCTCCTGCCTTAGCCTCTGAGTCATTGGGATTACAAGCATCGTTTCTTAATAATTATTTTCATGAAGATATATAGGAAACTATCATAATAATACCGAGGCAGAAAGATTTCATGTTCAAAGCCAGCCTCGGCAACTTAGTGAGACCCTGTCTCCAAATAAAAAAATAAGAAGGGCTGGGCATGTGGCTCAGTAGTTAAGCATCCCTGGGTTCAATACCTGGGACCTATATACATACATATATATATATTTTTTTAAAGTATTTTTTGTGTGTATATATACTGTTTATTCATTGAAAAAATGTCAACAACCTAATGCTCATTAACCAGAGAATGGTGAATGAATTATGGTACCATTCAATGGAAAAATAACATCAGCGAAAATTTTCTGAGACGTGGAAGTATGGGCATGTGCATGATATATTAAGTTAAAAAACTTGATAACAGGCTGAGGGTGTAGCTCAGTGGTAGAGCACTAGCCTGGCCAAAAAAAAAAAAGGGAGTTACATCTCTTGGTTCTATTCTTGGGCTTTCTGCTTATTTTCATTGATTTGTTCTTCTATTTTTTGATACACTGTTCTAATTATTATAACTGTGTAACATATTCATTCTTTTACATTGGTCCCCCCAATTACTTATCTTTTTCAAATATTTATGATGTATTCATTCTCCAGGAATATTTCATGGGCATTTTACCTCATTTGAAAAATAAAATACATGGCCATTTTCATAGAAATTGCCTTCAGTTAATGAATTGATTGTGGTAGTACTGGCATTTCTGACAGTGTTGTATTTTTATGATCCAAAAATATTTTCATTTACTGTCTTAGTTTCTGAACTCATAATACTCATTTTTTTCCTTTTTGTTTTCAATCCTCTGTTCCTCAAGAAAGCTAAGATTGTGAAGCTAAATACAGATCCTACATTTATTTTTTTAATATTTTTTTTTTTTAGTTGTAGGTGTATATAGTACCTTTATTTTATTTTTATGTGGTGCTGAGGATCGAACCCCGTGCCTCAGGCATGCTAGGAGAATGCTCTACCACTGAGCCCCAGCCCCAGCCCCAGGATTTTTTATTATTCTTTTGGTTGCTAGAATAAAAGTAATAATAATTTTAATGTTATAACTCTGGTATTTGCTACATAAAGACACTTAGGTCTATATTTATTTGACAACAGTGGACCTCATGATCTATTAATTATAATAGCCTCTCTCATAATGATGGCAATTTTGTCATTTTCGTTCAATTTCTTTGTCTAGTTAATTAATAACAAGTGTTTCTGACGTTAATTATAGTATGTAATACTGTCATTTTTCCCCTCCCTCCAGGTCTTGGATTTGCTTTCAACTTGAATCCAGCTCTGACCATGATTGGCACGTATTTCTATAAGAAGCGACCCTTGGCCAACGGACTGACCATGGCGGGCAGCCCTGTGCTCCTCGCAGTCCTGGCCTCCCTCAATCAGACTCTCTTTGATAACTTTGGTTGTAAAGGAAGCTTCCTAATTCTTGGGGGCCTCCTACTAAACTGCTGTGTGGCTGGAGCCCTGATGCGACCCATAGGACCCAAACCAACACAGGCAGAGACAGTTAAGTGTACAGAATCCCTTCCGGAAGCTGGAAAATCTAATGCAAACAAAGTTGCAGGTGATGCCAATGGAAAATGTAATGGTGGGAACGACAAAGAGGAGAAAAGATCCGTCTTCCCAGTAGTTAACCAATTCCTGAGCTTGTCCCTCTTTACCCACAGAGGCTTCGTTCTGTACCTCTTTGGAAACGTGATAATGGTCTTTGGACTGGCTGCCCCGTTAGTCTTTCTTAGTAGTTACGCGAAGAGTCAGCACTATGCTAGTGAGAAGCCTGCCTTCCTTCTCTCCATTTTGTCTTTGGTCGATATTATAGCCAGACCTTCCATGGGACTGATAGCCAACACCAAGTGGATAAGACCACGAATCCAGTATTTCTTTGCTGCTGCGATTTTGGCAAATGGAGTGTGTCATATGGTACTGCCTTTTTCTACCAGCTACGTTGGGTTCTGTGTCTATGCAGGATGCTTAGGATTTGCCTTTGGGTGGCTCAGCTCTGTATTGTTTGAAACACTGATGGACCTCGTTGGACCGCAGAAGTTCTCCAGTGCCATGGGATTGGTGACCATTGTGGAATGCTGTCCTGTTCTCCTGGGGCCACCACTGTTAGGTACAGTATGTTTCCCTACCTCTATGATCCCGCTATCATAAAACAAGATTGGGACCATGATAGAAAGCAGAGATTAGGGGCTGGGATTGTGGCTCAGCACCACATAAAAATAAAGGCGTTGGGTTGTGTCCATCTACACCTAAAAAATAAATATTTTTTAAAAAGCAGAGATTAGTGAGCTGTTTGGTAGCACAGAGCAAGCCTTTCTCACTTCTGTACCCTGAGTGCTGGCACATTACTTGACACAGGTGATGCTCAAATACTTACCGAATCAAAGTAAATTGAACCATCAAGCTGAAAGGAGAATTAAAAAAAAAAAACTATTATAAACTTCAGTATTTTTAAAAGTATTTCTGGTCACAAAATGAACACGCTTATTGTAGAAAAATGTGTAATGTACCTTTCCACCCTTAAAATATACTAATAGCATTTTCATTTTAATCATGACATTTATCTCAGTGCTGCTATTCAAAATAATAATAATAGGTATCAGGCGAGGGTTCACAGTGTACCAGACTGTTTTCGTCACTTTATATGCCCTGTCATATTTCACAAATCTATGAGGTAGAACTGTTACTGTCCCACTTTATAAGTGAAGAAATATAGGCTTCTAAAAATGAAATAAGCTGTCTGAGATCTTGCAGTCAGCAAAGGGCTACAAAACTTAATAGATTATTCCATAAGAAGAGCAAATTCTTTACATTTAGAAATTATTACTTAATACTAAATACAAGAATAATTTGGCTCTCCTCTGGACTGATTCATGCTTTTGAGATTATGCATGAAGGAGAAAGGAGGGATCCCCACACAGAGGCCAACTGCTGACTTCAAAACTTCCCCTCGGTTACTTTTCTCTTTACTCAGTGAGCTTCACGAATCCTATCAGTTTTTACCTCCAAAACCTTCCTAATCTGCCCATTTTTCTCCGTCACGCCCTTACCTAAACACCTGTTTCCTGTTCTGGCTGACCCTAATGGTGACCTCGTAACTGGTCCTCCTGTACCTGCGCCAGCTGTCCTGAAGTCTCTTACACCTCTTCCGCTCTTAGGGTGAGGATAAAATTTCCTGATGTGACTTACAAGGCTCTGCCTGGCCTGGCCTGGCCTGGCCTGGCCTGACCCGTCTCTCCAGCCTCATTTCTTAGCACCAGCTCTTTGCTCTCTGCTCCAGTAGCCCAGCCCTTCTTCCCAGCTCACATGCCATGCTTCTTTCTTCCTACCCCCGTGCCTTTGCACTTGCTGTTCCGCCTGGATCCTCTCCTTACCCCCTACTCCTGAGGATCTCTGTCCTCCTGCCAATCTCAGCTCAGTGGACTCAAGGGAGGAAGACTTCCTCTCCCTACCTGCCAGTTCCAGTCCTCCATTTTCTACTTCCAAAACCCTCCCTGTAGCGCTTGTCATGTTTGTGTGATTATCTGAACAACATCTCTTCTCCATTCAGCTGTGGGTGGTAAGGCCCTTGCTCACCCTCATCTGCAGCGCTGAGTGAAGCCAGTGTCTGGGCAGTGATGGAGGCTCAGTGACAGTTGCTGAATGAGTGATGCCCTGAGTTAGGAAGCCATATGGGGGTCACATTTGAATTGGTTCTATTAAGTGCAGAGTAGGGCTTTCCAGAGTTTATTTCTACAGATACTGATAAACTGTAACCATAACGAGAGGTTTAGGAACGCCAAGTTCAATGGATCTCTTTACTACCAGACTTGACAGAGCCTTAAAGATAAAAGGAAGTGATGCGCCACCCTGATTTTTTGACCTTTGAAACATTGGGCTCCCCCGTTGCACAGTAGTTACAGGTATAGACCCAGGAGTCAGAAATCCCAGGTTAAAGGCAAACGGTTTCATTTACTAGCTTTGTGACCCTGGACAGGTTACCTATGTCTCTGTACTTCAGTTGTACTATACAATGAGGATGACCGTTGAATGTGCCTGTCGTGGTCTTTGGAAATGCTGCTAGAGAAAGAGCACTGGCCTCTGGTAACTGGAATAGCTGTGTGTCCCCGGACAAGAGTCCCAGACCTCTTCTGAGCAACACTTTTTACATTACATACTGAGGGGATTGATTGTAGGTAATCTCCAATTCGAATCTGCCAAGAACTGATGATTTTCCAAGTTTCTGAAAATAACAGAGTATGCAAGGGCACCCAAAATCTGTGAAAAAAATGACATAAATAGAAGATAAGGTTATTTTTAGCAACTCCTTTTGATACCGATTGGGCATTTGCGGGCTTTGAAGACTGGATCAACATCTTCTTTCTGAGTGGATCCTTACACTTTGGGAAAGGGTATCCCTGTTTACTTTACCCACATAATTTGTTTTTTTACATCTTTAGGTCATCTCAATGACATATACGGAGACTACAAATATACGTACTGGTCATGTGGTGTGATCCTGATGATTGCCAGTGTCTTTCTCTTCATTGGTATGGGCATCCATTATCGACTTGTGGCCAAAGAAGAGAAAGAAGAGAGAATCAGAAAAAGCAAGATCCAGAGGGGGAGGCCAAAGGACTCCCTACAGAATAACATAGAGTAGAGAGGCCCTGGGGAGAAGCGTCCCGTCTGAAACCACGGATAGTCAGAGGAGCTTCTGGCCAAAGATACTGGAAAACATTCTACTGAACCATGTTCACCCAGTGATGCTTAACGTGGACAGCAGACACCTTTGTGGAAACAGCCAGGTGTTTATTGATGAAACTATTTCATCCTTTGCAGCAGTCCAAAATAAACATCACATCCTTTGAGGTCTGGGGATTTGCAGACGATGGGGAAAGGAAATTGTTTTTATTTGAAGTCAGATGGATTAAGGGATACTTTACATATGGCTGAACACCTCATCATTTCTAGGGGTGTGGGGAATTGAACCCAGGGCCTTGCATATGGTAGACAAGCACATCACCAGCCCTACTGTTCCATTTTTTAAGGACGCAGTTTGATGAGTTTTGACAAAAATCTTTAGTCAAATAAGTACGACCCCAGTTTAGAACATTTCAAAGACCCCCCCCCAATACTTCGCTCCTGTCTTTTGCTGTCAAACCTGCCCCTCACCCCTAATCCCTGTCAGCCATTGACCTGATTTCTGTCCCTTAAGTTTCACCTTTTCCCAAATGGAATTAATGGAATCATATAGTAGGTAGTTGTGGCATAACAGGAAATAAATGTTTGGCCTTTATCTCCAGTTGCGGGCACACAGCTCCTAAAACCCCTGGAATCCCTGGAGTGGTAAGAGTGCCTTTTGCATCTAGGGACAGGATTTGTGGCTGGGACCTGTGGAAACCTTCAGGATGGGGGCTGAGCCCCAGAAAGACCAAGGAGTGACGAGAGGGTCAGATTTCCAACTCCTTCATAAAAATCCCTAAACAACAGTCCTAGCTTGGGGGACACACTGAGGGGCCAAGAAGGTGTGCCTGGGGAGGCCCCCCATACCTGTCCAGGACATCTCTTCTGGCTGTTCCTGAGTCATATGCTTTATAATAAACCAGTAAGCAAAAGTGAAGGGTTTCCTTGAATTCCGTGAGCTGTTTCAGAAAATCATCAAGCTTGAAGAGGGGGTCATGGAAACCCCTAGTTTATTACCAGCCGATCAACTACAGGGTCAGCCTTGTGAATGGTCTGAAGTGAGGGAGTCTCATGGGACTGAACCTTCAAATCTGTGGAGTCTGACACTAATTCCTCTCACTAGTAGAATGGTAGTGCCCCATTGTGTATACATGCCACATTTTTTTTTATCCATTCACCCACTGAAGGACATCTAGGTTGGCTCCACAGTTTAGCTATTGTGAATTGTGCTGCTATAAACATTGATGTGGCTGTGTCCCTGTAGTATGCTGTTTTTAGGTCCTTTGGGTATAGTCCGAGAAGAGGAATAGCTGGGTCAAATGGTGGTTCCATTCCTAGCTTTCCAAGGAATCTCCATACTGCTTTCCAAATTGGCTGCACCAATTTGCAGTCCCACCAGCAGTGTATGAGTGTACCTTTTTTCCCACATCCTCACCAACACTTGTTGTTGTTTGTCTTCATAATGGCTGCCATTCTTACTGGGGTGAGATGGTATCTTAGAGTAGTTTTGATTTGCATTTCTCTAATTGCTAGAGATGATGGGCATTTTTTCGTATATTTGTTGATTGATTGTATATCCTAATTTGATGTGAAGATACTTTATATACAGAGTTACAAAAAAAATTGTGCTGTGAATAGATAATTATGAATGTAATGCACTCTACTATTGTCATGTATGTAAGAAATAAATTAAAAACAACAACAACAACAACAAAAGAATTGTAGTGCCCCATAGTTGATGTCTGCAGAGTTGGAGCAATGATTGTTGCTGTGGAACAAACTTACAACATGGTGTCAGAAGTGTGACTGAAAACAATTCAGAGTAGCCTCCTGTGTCTCTCACACAGCATCATGTTGTGTGATTCATCTTTGTTGTTACATTTATCAGCAATCCAATCCTTTTTATTGCTGAGTAGTGTTCCTTTGCATGGATATAATTTGTACATCTGTTCACCAGTTGATGGACATTTGAGTGATTTCCACTTTCTATCCATTTTGCTATAAACATTTAAGAGATCTATGTGTAGATATAGGCTTTTATATCCCTTGGGTAAATATTGGGATTGGGATTGCTGGGACGTATGGCAAATTTATGTTTAACTTTACAAGAAACTGAAGTGATTTTCTAAGCAGTTGGTAACGTATGGAATTCTAGATGTTCTGCATTCTTGTCAGCAGATGAATTTCTAATTCTAATTAGAAATTCTAATTCTGTTATTATTAGTACCAGTAGGTGTATAATTGTTTGTTTATATGTTTTTCTGGTACCAGGGATTGAACCTAGGGGCGCTTAACCACTGAGCCACATCCCAGCCCTTTTTTGTATTTTATTTAGAGACAGGGTCTCACTGAGTTGCTTAGGGCCTCACTAAGTTCCTGAGGCTGCCTTTGAACCTACAATCCTCCTGTCTCAGACTCCCGAGTTGCTGGCATTACAGGCTTGTGCCATTGTGCCTGGCTGACATATGGTTTTGATATATTTTTCCCTGATTACTAATTTTATTGTAATTGTCACTTGTATATTAGCTAGGCTTTGTTTTTTTAATGCTAATATTCAATGAAGTCTTAAGATATTAAGTGTCTTGAGTTTTTTATCTTTTAACCCCTTTGGGTGACCTTTTTTGGGCATATCTGACAGTGAAACGAATAATATATTTAAAAATCCTGGGCTGGGATTGTGGCTCAGCAGTAGGTAGGGCGCTTGCCTAGCTCATGCGAGGCCCTGGGTTGATCCTCAGCACCACATAAAGATAAATAAATTTTTTAAAAAAGGTTAAAAGAAAAGTGAAACAATAAATTTTTAAAAATCCTTAGGTGTTCGCAAATGAACTTAAGTAGATGGTTATGAAGTCTCACAGCAAGGAAAAAAACATTTTATCAGTAGGATACAATGTTAAATAAGAAAAAAAACAGAACAACTAGTTAGATCATAGATACACTCTCAGGGTGAAAAGGGGAAGGTAATACCCACAAAATCCCACCCATACTCGTGTTGGTATGATGACTTTTCTCCTACATTCCATTTTTCCATAATGTGAATATGATTGTTACTTTGTCACTAATATTGGAGGGAAAATGAATAGGTTTGAGATAGAAGACTTCTGGAAAGAAACAGTTGTCTCCCAAGAAAACGAAGCTGGTGATGATTACAAGCAGGTTATTATTATTATTATTTTTTTCTGCTTCTCCAAGGGCTGCACTCTGGTCAAAGGGGATTTAGTGTGATGTGGCCTCCAGCCCAGTGGTTTCCAGTTGTGGTCTTTTAGGGGCTGGACCACACGGTGGAGCACAGAGCCCCAGGCCACCTGGGCCAGCTGCCAGGGCTCCTTCCTGCAGGCAGGTGTCTTGGAGACAACATTCCTGCGGTTCCTCTTCTGAGCATCAGCTGCAAGTAAATGTTGAACTCAGGAAGCCAGAGGTTCAGCATCCCGCCACCCCAGAGGGTTGTGGTTGTTCTGGGGCATTCTCTTTCTGAGCTCAGCTTCAGAAAACAAGACACTAGCCAGGTACGGTAGGTAGCACACGCCTGTAATCCCAGCAGTTCAGGAGGCTGAGGCAGGAGGATCATGAGTTCAAAACCAGCCTCAGCAAATCAGTGAGACCCTGTCTCTAAATAAAATATAAAAAGGGCTGGGGATGTGGCTCGGTGGTGAAGCCCCTCTGGGTTCAATCCCCAGTATAAACAAACAAACAAAAAACCCAACAATACACTGTCACAAAAAGACAGAGTGATGTTGGCTGACAGATGTTTCTGTATATTCGTTAATGGATATTATTCGCACCACGAGCTGTTCCAAGCACTGTTCTAGGCAATGAGGATTCAGTACCAGCCAACCCTGTCTGTTGCATGGACTTTACCTTCTAGGAGGGGAAGACAGGCAATGAGTGGTGGGTTAGCAAACAGATACAGAGTTAGTCTTTATCAATATTTCATCCGGATGCTGTCCTGGGGAGCATCTTCTATGTGCCTGACTCGCTGCCCGGAAAGATATAGGAGTGAGTAATTGAAGTTCCCAGAGCCTGGAGCTATTGGCCTCATAGGTGCAACTATGCAGGAAGTTCTGTGATTCACCAGCACATGAAGAGTCAGCCCAGCCAACCTTGGGAGGCTAAAACCGTCTAGTACCTTCTTGAGCAAATCAGTTACCTTCTCACTGATAAAATAAGCACAATATGACTGTGAAGATTAACTACACACGTTCACAGCTATTGTTTTCAAGGAGTTTCGATGACATTTTAGTCTGCTCACATCCTGCAGGGCAGGGAAGGAAGCATCTGGAAGTTTCATTATTAACCAGAGCAACAATGAAGTAAGAACTGCTGGTAATGATTACTTAACTCTTCGGTTTACAAAGCCCTTGAACGTGCCATTTCATCTCATCTATGCAAACCCTGGGAGGTGGAAGCATCCAACACAATGACCCTGCTAAATGCAATGTGGTGTCCTAGATTGGATCCTGGAAATGAAAGAGGATATTAGTGGAAAAGCTGACGTGTGGTTTAATTAATAGGATCGTATCAATGTTAATTTCTTAGTTTTGACAAAATTACCACGGTTATGTAAGATTTGCATGAAAGAAAGCCGGGTAAAAAGTTGACTAAGGAACTCCCTGGACTATCTTCACAACTTTTCTGTAAATCAGAAATTTTAAAGAAGCAAACAGAAAAGTACAGCACTGACTCCTGGAGGAGGTCTCATGCTAGCAGGGCGCCCCTCCAGTGAGGAGAGTGAGAAACGAGCACATTCCCGTTTAGTGGCTAGAGCTCAAGTTTGTGCTGGAGGGAAGCTCTGGAAGCAAAAAGACTGAATTCTGGGAGATTTTGAAAGGTGAAAATGGCCAAGCCAATCACCAGCCCTGAATCTAATGATTCCCTGTTCTCAACAAATTCACACAACTTTCCAGCAGATTTGAGATTTCCCACTATGGGAGTGTAGATTTCCTTTACTAATATGCTTTGCTGTCCCAAGAACTGAGT